GGCTCTATTTCCAGGCAACTGCCCTGAACCTTGGCCAGCAGCTCACCGGGGTATCACAGTACCTCCTCTCAGCTTCACCAGGGATTCTGTCCTGTGCTTTATGGCGATGTGCTTGGTGACTGATTATATATTCTAAAGAAAATTTGCAGGTTTTTTTTTTCCTCCTGCTGGTAAACAACAATTCATTTTTTATTTTTTATTTAATTTCCAACAAATTTTTTAATGGTCTTTTGATTACAAATTACTTTAAGGGGAACTGAGACAGCACAGAATGGATAAGGTTCGATGAATGAGAAACTCCTCAGTATTTTATTATTTTATTCTAGGTTTATGTGTGACCCAGGAGTCTTATTTGCTGCATATGTCTCAAAGGATACTGTGTTTGGTTGTATTAAAGAGGGGATAAAGAGCTTATGAAATGTTTCATGGGTGAAGTTGCTGAGAGGATGGGTGGAAAAACCACACTCATCTTTTAAAAGAGCAAAATAACATACTCAGATTACTTTCTGCAAAATATAACACCTTCTCTGCCTGGAGGCTGTGTAGTAACGAGTCTCAGGGCTTTTTCACACATCTGACAAGGACTTGATTTTACAGTTCCTAGGAATTTGTAAACCACTGTGCCAGGCTGTCCAGAAAACACTCTTGCCTATTCTTCATATCACTATTGCTTCAGAGAGCATTTATTAATGATAAGTCAAGGTGAGCTGTGTCTCGGGAACGTCTTGGTCAAACTGTCCTTATTTGGATCACGACTCCTATTCAAGCACCCATGAGGCATCACAGGTTGTGGTCTGTACGTGGATTTTTACAACACTTACGGTTAACTTTTTAAAAAAAAAGTTACTTAGTAATGGTACATGCCTTAATGATAGGCAGTACTGCCATCTCTGCCCATAATGATTTCTTTAACCTACCAAGATACCGCAAAAGGAGGGCTGAGGAGGCTGGATGGGTAATGTCAGAGCATCAGGGTTGCTTCCTGCTGTGCCTCTTGCTCCCTGTGTGGTCTCACAAGTCTTTCCATTGCTTCACTCCAGGTTTTTCACCCACAAAAATGTGAATGGGTCTTAATAGAAATATAATTGGAGTGAGTGTGTGTATAATAGCCTCAGAAGGGTGGGAACATGAGGCAGGCACAATTAGGTGTGAGTTATGACTTGATAGAATCTGTCTTGAACCTCTGTGAGGTGACTGCTTTCTAAAATCCATGCCTCAGCCTTCTGTTACAAACTGTTGCAATGCTAATTCTCAGGAAATGGAGACTTTGGGAGAAATAAGCAAGCAGAACCACCTGCTGCTGGGTTACGTGTCACAGATCCAGCACTTGGAAGCCACCTGAGATGTTTCATTTACTGTCATGAACCAGTAAATACAAAAACACCCACTTTTCACCATACTGTAGCGGTAATTTTACCTTGGCAGCTACATTAGCAGACTTGGCCTGGTTTTCACAGTCTCTTCACAAAGTTAAAGTATGCTGTGCAGCCAGACTGGAGGGGTGTTCAGTAAATGTTAGTTCTGAATATGAATGAAAAACTTCACCACCGCTTGTCAGAAAGGGCTTTTTATCTTCCACTAATTAGTGTTTTCCTCCCTGTGGGTGGTACAGAATCTTTCTGATACATGCGTTTGTGTGGTATTTCCTGGATAGGTTGTGTCCCATGCAGACTGATCCAGCAAATGGCTGCAGTAAAGTAACAGTTATTCAGTCCCTCTTATGTTGTTGATATGTTCATTTTTTCTCTACTGCTAGTCCCTGCTCTTGCACTTTTCTCCCTTTTGATCTGACCCTTGTGAGCTCTTTCTCTCACTCTCCTTTACAACTTCAGTCTATCTTCTGTCTTCTTGTCACCCTGACAATTTTAATTTTCCAAGTTCCATTTTTCTCCCTTTCGATCTGACCCTTGTGAGCTCTTTCTCTCACTCTCCTTTACAACTTCAGTCTTTTCTCTTCTGTCTTCTTGTCACCCTGACAATTTTAATTTTCCAAGTTGGTCTCTTGTCCCACCTTTTTTAATGTTTAGTCACTATATTCTGCAATTTTTTCTTTTAACCCAGACATACTCACCACTTGCGTCCATTTATTCTCAAGTATGTTATCCTACATAATTCACCTGTTGTACCTTCCTTCCTTGGCATCGATTGACCCATGTCTCATCCTACTAATAAATGAATGATGGGACCTTCACCCCTTATTCCATGATACTTACTCTTCTCTTCCCCTTGGGGGGACAGTTGGTTTGCAAACAGTAGAGCTGTGGAGAGACATGGAATGAAAGGGTGGCCAATGAAGGCTCCATCCATTGACGTTATGAGGCAGAAGGCGTGGGAATAGCTAAACCTTGCAAAGGAGGGTTATAAAAAGAAAATCATCAGAGCTCTATCAAAAGAATAAAATATTCATTAATTTTTCTTAAATGAAAAATGAATCTTATTTTCAGAAACAGGAAGAACTAGAGGTGGAATTTCTACTGGAAAACATGTGAGTAAACCCTAAATGTTACAGAATTTGTCATCAGAAAACTTCACATTTTAAAGAGTGCTAATGCAGCACTGGGGTCGTGGCTGTGCTCAGACATCCCATCTTGGCATCTTCCCCATGACTGCTTTTCTCTCCTGAATCTGATGAAATCCTTCCATGAGTGACAGTCTCACTTACTATTTATAGCTAGAAATGGATGTTTATTTTGTAACTTAGCTTAAGGAGAGATGATGCTAATCAGGGAGGTAAGAAAGAGGAGCTATGGGACTGTGACCTGGCAGTGAGCACGAGGTGGAGGTGAAAGATAGAAGTGCTGATGGCACTTGGCAACTACAAAAACTGAGCTTGGAGAACTATTTGCATTTTAAAAAATCATTGCTTATATATCCACCCTTTAATAAACCTTTTCATTTTTGCTTTGCAGTCCAGGTGTATCTGAAAACATCATTACTAATGGCGTACTAGTGGTAAGTGTTTTCTTTTTTTATGCTTATGTTCTTATGGTAGGGCAAAACTGAAGGCTGTAGTTGGAAGAATTATACCATTAGGCATAGCCTTTGCTCTTTTTCAGATGAGACAGGTGTGGTTGTAAAGTTTTGAATCTGGCCATGCTTGGAGTGCATTGTGTGTTGGGAGAGGCTTGGACCAGCACTCTGCCACAGTGCCAGTGAGCTGCTCCCTGACGAAATTGCAGTAAACAAGGAAACCTGGGAAGGGAGTGAATCCAGTGTCACTGTAGACTTTATTACTGAATGTCTGTCTTGGAGCCGAAGGCTCTTTTCACACTATGTCCAAGGTACTATATGATGTCCCTGTGCTGCTACTTCCTCCTATGCAACAAGCTTGGGAAGTTTCAGCTTCATCCCAAAGGTATTAAAGTGCAGGCTTCTCTGTTCAGGTGTCCTGCAGAGCTTGTAGGTGTCCTTCAGCTCACTCTTCTGTCCATAAAAGTTAAATCATGGTCTAAAAGGGGAGAAAAATTCATTGTGTTAACTGTTAAGGATTTAATTGTATTTAAATGTCATGGGACAGATCCCCAGCTATCTTAGTTCCCTTGACCACAGGGACCCTTGCATGATTTATAAAAGTTGAGAATCAACTTCTGTGATTTTTTCAAGTTCACAGGACATCATGGCCAAGCCTGATGTCTCTACAGGCTCCCTGGATCCTCAGTGCGGATCCTGAATTGTTCCTGTGACCAGTGATTTTGTTGCTTATCTCTTCCAGTCTCGTGAAGTTTCCTGTTTGGAGATACAGGTGGATGAAACAAAAATGAAGAGCCCTTACACAAGTGAGGTTATTCATTTAGATCATTTGTCACTGCTTTTTGAGCTATGGAAAAAGCAGCTGAATCTAGATAAATATTTGATAAATTTTAGTCTCCTGTTTGTAGCACGGCTGCTTGAGGACTGAGATGTTTCCTGAATTACCTACATGTTAATAGTGCAAATCCTCTGGAGCTGACATGACTGTGTATCTTAAGGAAAACTGTGGAGGTGGCTGAGAGACTCAGAAACATCACTGCAATGTGATGGGACAGAAACACCTGTGATGAGAACAGAAAGTAGAAGAGGGGAGACACAACTGAGGCGTAGAAAGACTGTGGTGGAAAATTGGGGAGTGTGAACTCTGCCAGTGGCATCCACAGACCCAACACATGCTCTTAGTCGCCTGGCAGGGGAGAAGCTGCAATGCTGCACTGGCATTTGGCTGCTCATTTGGTCTAGCCCTTGTTCACACTATGAACAAAGGGGGGTTATGAGGGAGGAAAAACATTGTGGCTCCAATTCATGGTGACTGCAGTAAGGCTGAAACTTTACTTTGGGCATTTTTATCTTTTATTTTTCAGGGCTAGATGCAGTTAACATTTCTCTGTGGTTTACTTCTTGTTCTTAGGAGGAGATTTCACGTTCACATTGAAAGGATCCTATGAAGAAAGCCAGGATGTTTCCATAGGTCCTCACTGCAGACAGGGAGACAGTGAAACCACCTTGTTCCACTATGTCAAGCACAGTCAACCCAGACTGCACATGATGCTGCCAAAGGAGTGTGTTCTCTGTGAGGTATGGTTTGCTTATGAACAGGGATTACAGCTAAAGTCTAGGAAGAAGCATGATGAATTAGCCTTTCTCTGGTAGATTTCTACCTATGGATTGTTAATAATTTTCTCATTTATAATGATTTTTTTTTTCCTACCTCAATTCAGGATGCCTCAGCTAGGAAGGAAATGGATGTAAGGAGTCCCCTGGCTGTGCCTCTTCATTCTCTGGACTTGGACAAAAAGGTGACAGTGATAAAAGTGAGTAACCTCTGACAGCATCTGGAATTATTTCAACAATTGTAAGCTGTATCTATGTGATAACTGGTCTCTTATTAATTTTATTATAAAATGTGCTTGCTGAGTATAGTATTCTCAGCTCTGTATGCATTTGAAAGCATAACCTCTTCCAGGTAAAAGTAGCATATTCAGAATTCCTGATTGTTTTAAAAGTATTTAACAAGCAGAATCTACTGATGATTGTGTGCAGGAGGACTGAAAATAGACCAAAGATTTATCACTGGTCTTTGTATCTGAATAATTGTTAATACTGTAAAACTTGCTTTTGCAAACTTTTGATTCTATTTAGAATTTGATGTTTTCATTCTTCTTCCTCCAGGGTGAATCATACGAGGTGTCTGCGAAGGAAGAAGATGGGTACATCTTTTGTTTCTTTTCAATGATTACTGAGGCCATCTCCTGTCCTTTCATAGTATCATCTTTAGATGAAAAGAAGCTACAGCTTAAACTAGCTCATTTCAAAACCAGGAATAAAGATTGTAATTGGTCAAAGAAAACTAAAATATGGGGAAGGGATAATAAAGTGACACATGCTTTTGAACTGATTGGTAAGAGTTCAGCATGGAATAAGTGGTCATAGGGTATATGCAGTTGCAATGTTTTTCCTAAAGCTGATGCTTAGGAATCCCTCTGTCTTGTAACCTTTATCTATAATACATACACGTTTATATGTAACAGATTTCTAACATGTTTCTAGCATTTTTATGCACTTACCGGTCCTCTGCAGGTTGTTTTTTAATGAAACAAGCGCACAGTAATTGCTCTGTTGACCGCCTTGCAGTGATTTTTCCGAAGGGAAACATTACCCCCTACTGGTTAGCTACATTGCAAGCATGCAATTGCAACTGCGTTGTGAACTGAGATGGTCACAGAATCACAGAATGGTAGGAGTTGGAAGGGACCTCGAAAGCTCATCCAGTCCAACCCCTGCCACAGCAGGATCACCAGAGCAGGTCACACAGGAACATGTCCAGGCGGGTCCTGAATGGCTCCACAAGAGGAGACT